TGCTTTCAATTTGAAATACATCAACGTCTAGAATATTTTCGATATCTTCCTGAATTTTTAAAAACTGAGAAAAACGAGATAAATGAGCTGAAATTACCTTACGTGCGTGTATAAGTTCTGATTTTTCATCATCGTTTGAATTAGAGTTACTGTTAGTTTTCGACGATTTGTTTCGTGGCATTTTGACTTACGATTCGTATAAAATGGCTTTTCAATATTGATTCGAGAACGAGAACTTATTCTAGCGAGTATATACGTGCGAGATAACGATTAAATCAATAAATATAATGCGAGACGAGAATCAACTTATTATTCGTGAAGTTCGAGAAATTCGTGACGTTCGAGAAATTCGAGAAAATACGTATTTTTTAAACCAAAACGTGCATTGATTAACGAGAAACGATTGAAAAACGATGCTATAACAATTGTACGAGGATTAAATTTCTTTCGAGAATAAATCGTTACGTGTAGTATACTATTTAAACTAATAATATACGAGATATTTCAATACAAGATATTACGAGACGTGATTACGAGAAATAAACAACAAGAAAATATATTTTTACGTGAAATATGTCTATTTGACATCTAGAAATACGAGATATATATGCTACAATTTTACGCTGAACTAACAAATACGAGATTATGAAAAATAAGGAAGGAGTAGGTAAAAGGAAATAAGGATATAGCGCTAATCAAAAACGATCTCACCAAATCATCTTCTTCAATCTTCAAACTGCTTCGATATCTTCATAACATCAATTTTCCATAGGTTTTTCTGATTCCTTGATCCGGGCGAAGTGACCAAAATGGTTGGGGCTCGTAAAACCAAAATGTTTCTGGCTTGTAGGACCAAAATGTATCTTGGCGGAGAACCAAAATCTGGATGATTCTGGTAGTCGGACTGTCGAAGGACCAGTTGAAATAACATTCAACAACGATAACTTTTACACACTTATATTGTAGACAAATAACACAAGTGAAACTTATTAATTATACTTAAAATAACAACGTTTAAAATTTCTCGTAACAATATTATAAAAGCCAAAGAAAAATTGTCGATATGCGGATGGCGTCTTTCGACGCGTCGTGCGTACTCTGGACGCGTAAAGCGTACTCTCCCTAGAACCACGTTCCAGTCTCTTAAATAATGTCTCACTTCAAAAATAGCCATAGGCGTACAATACAATTTTCATGTTCTTAAATCTAATATTCATAACAGTGGACGACACTGCCCTAAACTTACATTGTTTAGATAGACAGACGTCTGCGACAGCTATATAGTTTTACGATCAAAATTCCCAGTGGTAATAGTTAAGTTAAAGTTATAATTTTACAAATATAAAGTAGGGTCGTTTATTATCTTAAAGGTAAGGTACCTTAATAAGGTTTTTATAATGGGAAATTTCTTCAACTTTGTTAATAGAGTAGAGTAACTTAAAACTATAAACAATTATTATAGTCTAACAAAAATGTCTCAGCTAGCCTGAACACTTGATATTTTGCTCGATTCCTCTCCGAGATATAGAGTTTTTAAAAATTCGCCGATTTTGAATAAGTAGGCTTTGAATGGCGCAGGCTGTAATGCAAAAAAAAATCTAGCTGTGAGCAGCAATTTGCACTGAGAGATGCAGAATTTTATAACAATTTAAACTATATTTTACAACATCAACATATTTAAACTATATCTAATAACAATAAAGATTAATAGCAAACCAAGACTCGACATGTCGACCGTTTTCTGTTATGGACAGACGGGACCGTTTTTGAACATTTCTCGCGGAATTCATTAACTTACTGAGGGTGAAAAATACCCTCGCATAACCACTAAGTACTTCTAATTCTTGTTTAGTTATGGGAAATTTAAAAATAAGAACCTTTATTCTTCTGCAAAGATTAAAATCCACTAAGGATAACAGGCACTAAATCCGGCGGCCTCGACGGCAAACGGCTGGGGTCTGGGATCTTGGTTAGCTATTCAATTATTCTCGAAGTGGCTGCAAAAATTTGCTGATAATTTCAGCGTTCGGAGACGGTGTCTCGTCTTGCTGGAAAAATATGTTTTCGAGTTCCATTAGGGGCAGATCATCCATAAGGGGTCAAAAGCCTACTAGTTAAAAGTGGCGAACTTATAAAAATTCTGTATTTCGAAGGGGACTATAACAAAATATCAAGTGTGGTATATTTTTGGAAAGATAATTTTATGTTCTTTTTACTTAATTAAAAATATACAGGGTGTCCCAAATAAAAAAATCAATTTTTCTGTTGATAACTCTTAAATTATTAATTTAAAAGAATATATATTTAAACCATTAAATTCTACGTAAAAAGGTGCTTTGGAAATGTTTTCATAAAAATACAAAATTTTCCATAGTAAAAAAGTTTTTTTATATATATATATATATATATATATATATATATATATATATATATATATATATATATATATATATATATATATATATAAAAAATAATATATATATTTAGGCCTATTAGTCTCACATCGTTCATATTAAAAACGCTGGAGAAAGTAGTTGACAACCATATTGAAGAAAATCATCTAAAGGTTAAACCACTGCATGATAGTCAGCATGCATATAGAACGGCCAGATCCGCAGAAACTGCTCTGTACCAATTAACGGAGCTAATACAGACAAGTCGGGATAGCAAAGAAACAGCAATTTGTGCCTTCTTGGATATTGCGGGGGCGTTTGACAATATACCACATAAGGTGGTCAGGCGATCTCTAGAAACAAGAGGGGTGAACAGAACTATTATTCGCTGGTTTTGGGAAATGCTGTCAACACGAACAGCAGAGGCTCAGAAGGGCACCAAAACTGTAGCTGTTAAAACAACGCAAGGAACTCCACAAGGTGGAGTAACCTCCCCTTTGCTGTGGAGCTTGGTGGTGGATGAACTACTAGATGAATTAACTCTATCGGGAATACACTGCATTGGGTATGCAGATGACATAGTCATGATCGCTCGGGGGAAACATGAAGGCACCTTGCGTGATATTATCCAAAGAGGACTCCGTATCACTGAGAGATGGTGTAGGACTGTCGGGCTGAGTATCAACTCAGACAAAACCGCGATAGTGCCATTCACCAGAAGGCGAAGTCTGAAAAACTTGAAAAGAATCAACTAGATGGAAAGGAAATACTGCCAACACAGGAAGTTAAATACCTGAGAATAACCCTGGACAGTAAACTCCTGTGGAACAGGCATATTAAGAACACTACCAGCAAAGCCATAAAGGCTCTCATGATATGCAGAAGACTGGCCGGAAATAGATGGGGCTGCTCCCCTAACATTTTGCGCTGGATGTATACCATGATAGTAAGACCCATGATTACTTATGGAGCAGTTGCCTGGTACACAAAACTAGAGCAACGGACGGCAAGGCTAAACCTATGCAAAGTCCAGAGACTAGCATGTGTTTGCATCACAGGAGCCATGAGAACCTGTCCAACAGCAGCAATGGAGGTCATTCTAGATCTAACACCACTGCACATTGTCATTGGTAGATATGCCAATGCGACAATGATTAGAATGGTCACTAACGGAATTAGTACTGGGAGAATTGTCAGATCAGGAGCTTGGAACACCCTCAAAAAGGAAATACCACTCCTGCAATTCCCAGTGGACGATATGCCAAGAACGTACAACTTTGACAAACATGTCAATGTAGTATTGAGCAATAAGAAGGATTGGAAGAGCGAAACGCTTGCCCAGCAGTTAAAAGACCATACCATAACTTGGTATACTGATGCTTCCAAAACCAATACGGGAACAGGGATCGGGGTGTTTGGGCCGAGAGCTAATTACTCCGAACAAATGGGCACTTACCCTAGTATCCTACAAGCAGAAATCTACGCTATCGAGAGATGCGTACAACTTATCTTAGATAGGAACTATCAGAAACAAGAAATAGCCATCTTATCTGATAGTCAAGCAGCGTTAAAGGCGATCAACTCAGTATCAATCAATTCGAAATTGGTCAAAGAATGCATAGAGAAGCTGAATAAATTAGGCAAAGAAAACAAAGTCCTTCTACACTGGGTGCCTGCTCACCAAGGGATAGAAGGCAATGAAAAAGCAAATAATCTAGCTAGGAAAGGAGCGAACACTCCACTAAGTGGACCAGAACCGTTCTGCTTTCCAAGTGGTAACCAACTCAAGGCGGAACTCAAGAACTTGGAAGATTCCATCCGCAACCTGGAATGGAAATCTTGCAATGGTCTAAGACACTCGAAGAAGTTTCTGAGGGCTTATGATCAAGAAAAATCACAGACCTTTCTGGGTCTGAGTAAGAACAATCTTCGGATTGTCACGGGGTTTTTAACAGGACACTGTCTCCTCAATGAACACCTCAGTAGATTGAAACTAAGAAGAAACGGCGAATGCAGATTCTGTGGGGAAGATGGGGAAACACCAGTACACCTCATCGCTGAGTGCGCCGAGACGACAACCATTCGTGCCATGAATTTTGGTACGACTGATATTGGAGATGGAGAACTACCCTCTATAAAACCGTCCCAGATACTGGCTTTTGTCAAAGCCCTGGGACTGTATGATGAGTTATGATTCAAGAAAGGGGGACACAATGGATCTGTAAGGTCGAAGTGATTAACCCCCCTACCACTCATTCTAAATTCTAAAAAATTCTAATAGTAAAAAAGTTACAGCGATTTGTTAAATATGCACATTTTCGAAAAACACCCCGTAACTCATAAACGGTAACAGATATCGATGTGCGGTTTTCACCATCATATTTCTGATAAAAATTGAGCTCCAGACACCAATATTAGTTTTCGTCTATCTCCCATAGAAAAGGTTGTTTCTCTTTAAAAGCGTCGAATTTGACCCACCCTGTACATAGATAATCGTACAAAAAGTATTAGCCTTTAACTGGCCTTTTATGCAATTTTCTGATAAAACTTAGCTTTATAAACAAATAAATCTATGAGCTAATGTCTAAGAAACTCCAATTTTCTTACCGATATTGCCATGTCAATATTCATTTGTCCAAGCGGACCTATTGACATAGTCAGGGGCTTTCCACATCTCATTATCATTATTCTTATTAGGAATTTACAGTATTTGCTATGTTTATACCAGGGGCTGTTAAATAGAGCTTTGGAAAGTCCGGTGGAACTCTGTAAAAAATTATTGTATAAGGAAAAACTAATATAAGCATATAGTAATTCTTTGACATAGTTTTTGTACCCTTCTGTACAATGCGATATAGAAAAATATCGTGTCATTGGATTGAAAATGATGATTATATAAGTACAATAATTATATAGCTAATGTTCATGGCAAAGTCAACTTGACAGGTTTTTTTCGTTCTTACGTTACTTTTTTGTTAAATACGAGTACCTAAGAAATAATCTTACCTCAATTAAAATTTCATTTGCATTCCAAGAGAGTGCCAATAGTTCCAAGAAGCAGTGTATTAAAAATGTTAGGTTAAACAATATTTTAACACCCTGAAAATGAATTAAAAATTAGATTTTATTTTACTTTTGATTTTATTTAGGGTGGTCCGTACTCTATTCATTCTGCCCCCCCCCCTTCATATTCTGCAAATAAAAATAAGTAACATAAATGTACGTACTTAGATGCTTAGCTTTGGAGATACAGGGTGTATAAGTTTAATTTTTATTTCGATTTTTTCCAAATAATTTCTGAACTAACCAGGGGTGGATGGGGAAGTGGAAACCGGCCCGGGAAAAACAGAAAACCGGCCCAAATCCACAAAAACAAAATGACCATAACTAAAAACATATTTTATTTATTAATATATAGGTAAGTGTGTTTTTCGCTCGTGCGAGAAAAGCTCTTTTGCCTTCGGTTTTTTAAAAAAATTGAAATTTTCTTGATGAAATTTTCACAAAGATCAATTTTAGAGGGTGCTACTGCTTTATTTCTCAGGCTCAGTTTTACAGGGTTCTACTTCTTTATTTCCATTATTGATAACGGTAATTTGATCTTGAATAGGCTACAATTTTAAGTCACGATTTTGAGAAACTGACTTCCTGATTGATTCAGTTCAGCTGGCCCAATCCTCTGTGAAATACATTGTTTTTAGCTTTTCAGGTATATACTTTCTTACACATTGTAGAAAGAACTCTCTTTTCTGATAGAGCAGCAACCTCGTCGTGTATACGTGTTTTTAACTGAATGAACTGCGGTCGCCATTAAAACTGCTGCATTTTTTAGGTTGTTATATATCACTTTTTCTCTATACTTTTCTACATTTGGCATCTTGTATGATAATGCCATGACTCAAACGAAAAAAACCTAGACCTGGCAGTGTATATAAATGTGTTCTGAGGTAATGCTATGTTACGGTCCATAATAAGAATATTTGGATTTTCCAGACGTATTAATATTTTATTATCTAATCTAGTTTAAACCTTATTTAACTCTTCTCTGCTGTCTCAGTAATTTTTAGTAAATTAATTTTAGCAACAATTTAGACAACAATTTAGACTTGGCTTTTAGTTCTCAAGCATAGATATCCATCACATGTTTTCTCTGTCAACTGCAGAGTTCGCGTCAAATTCGTCAATCTTTTTACAAAGGGGAGCTCGAAAAATAGTTGCCTACGCCCCTAGTTGTCAATCTACGTTACCGTATCCTTAGTATACACTTAGATCTGTGAATCAAGAATATTTAAATTTACCTAATACTATTCTTTCTCTTTTCTGCTGCCAGTCAGTCATATTTATTAGTTATTAATATAAGAATAGTGGTAAAACTATACAGGGTGAGTCTTAAATAAGTGTTAATATTTTCAGGGGTGGTATATTTCGACCCCAAGAACACGTCGATGAGGTTTCTTTTGCAAAAAAAATGTTAAAAAGCGTGCATTTTCTTTTAAATTTTCCTGTATATTTAAGAAAACTTTTTAGAACTTCCTGTTCACCGCAAATTTTCCCCCACGGTATAGTTTCTTAATCTCTGATATTACGGTACGAAAAGAGATACTGGCAAATACTGGAAAATTGAGGTGGCTCAAATTTTTTTAAAAATAAATATTTTTTTTTTAATTTTCAAATTTTAATAACTCAGTTGGACTTATTTGAAACACGGTAAAGAGAATATATTATGTTTCTTTTATTGAGATCTACCAGCCCTGAAAATATTTGCATTTATAAAGTCACCTTGTATAATAAAAATGTTCAAACCGAACAAACAGATGTTTATTAAAATTATAAGTGTCTCAGAGAAAGACGTCTTACAATAGTTATTTTACAAATTGGTGTTTATATTTAAAAGCAACTGACGATTATACTGATGCAAATTGATTAGTTAGTTATGGATCACTAAGGATCTTACGTCACTTTAGTTAAAAGAAATGGTTAACCATTTAAATGGTTAACCATTTAAATTTTGTCAAATCCAATCTTTTTTTAAGCTCTAATTTTTTAAGCTAAAACCTGCCCATCTTTCCACCGGCCCACCGGGAATTTCCCCGTTTTCCCATATGGCCCATCCACCCCTGGAACTAACGTTGATATTTGGATAAAAATTATTGTCTGGGAGTTTTTTGATATGAGAAATTTGATTTTCATGTCGATATGTCTCCTACTTGTAGAGGGCGCCACACTTAAATATTTTTTGGTTTGAAGAGTAACGTCCGTACTTGTATAGAACTACTGAGTAAAAAATATACATTTACGGCGTCTTTTACGTAAGAAAAAGCCTCTTTCTAAAAAATCTCTAGGAGTAATGGTTCTGGAGATATTTGGAATCGAAATTATCAATACCTTTCATCATTGATATAAATTAAACAAGTAGACTAAATACCGTATGATCGAAAAGAAACGGCGTTCAGTTGGCTGGGAAATGACGATGGATGACATTTCCCACATAAATTCACATATAAAATGACAGCGATCTTCATTTCATAGCCATCGCTGACGCCGTATTTTTTTGAAGATACGGTAGTTATTAGATTGAAATAATAAATGTCAAATGTTTTTGTGCCAAAAGTTCAACAGAAACTGTTAAATTTAAAAAAAGGTTCCCAAATTTATCATTTCAGTCAACTGTCTACTCAACAAACGTTTTTAAATATTTTTATTTGCAATAATTGCAATTATTGCAAAAAATTTTATCATTTTAGACATATTTAATTTATGAAGCAAATTTTAAATAAAAATTTCTAAATAATTGGTTTAAAGTAAGTGCACGAATATACTTATTTTATTGATATTAATGTGTCTACTAATTTGAATAGTTCATAAATAACAAACTTAAAACAACGAAATTATTGTAAAGCCTATTCAAAAGCATGATCAAACTTTATATTTCGGAGGTTTCTACAGAATAATGCATTTCTAGATCATATTTTGAATAGTAGGTATTTAAAATATTTGAAAATATAGTTATTATAATTAACTTTTAATATAAATGATAAGGTCATAAAAGTATAACAATTACTTTTGAAGGTCTAGTATATGAATCACTCGTTTTACGCGGCCTATTTATACACCGTTTCGAATATCGTCAGTGAAACGTGATAACCTGCTAACTCCATTTTTTACATTAATAAGTTTTTTATACCATTAGAAAGAAAAAAAATACTCTATAAGTAGGGAAAGCAAATACATTTTTTCCCATTAAAGAAAATTCGCTATTTTAACTCAATAATATCTGCTAACTCCCAGTGATCTGAAATAGCCACCGAAATGCTGCTATCTCCGTAATTTCCGTTACGATCACGCTAAAGCAAACACACGGATTCATACTCGTATGTTTCTTTAGTACAGTATGTCGATCCAGGGTCGCACTAGGCCCGGGTGGCAATGTAAGGAGGGGCCCGTGTGGATTTTTTTTGCGTATTTTTTCGCCTTACATTTTTCCCTATTATATAAAATATTTTTAGGGGTAGTATATATCGACCCAAGAAACACGATTATAAGGGTTTTGGCGCGATTTTTTTTCCTTGAAAATTTGGATTTTTTTTAAATTTTGGATTTTTTTTTAATTTTTAGTTTAAAAACATACTTTGTAATATGGCAAGATATGTAGGTAGTAGATTAAATTTACAAGAAAGAAAATCCAATGATTCTGAAAATTATAGCAAAAAATTGGAAATTTTAAAAGTGAAATAACTCGGTTGTTTTGGATTTATTTGAAAAAACGGTAAAGATAAAATATTATGTTTCTTTTATCGAGATTTACCAGCCCTGAAAATATTTGCACTTCTTTAAGACTCATCCTGTATAGAAATCAGGGAGCTACCCTAATGCAAGGTAAACCAATGCAATGCAAATACCATAATGCAATGCAAAAGCAAATATTGTTAATAAATAATGAACTAACTGAAATATAATAAATAATACCTATAGGGGGGGGGGGTATAATAATAACCTATAAAGGGGGCCCGCGACTACTTACTTACTTGTACAAGAATTTCCATAATACCTAATCAGTTTTATTTTTTTCAACGTTTTTCCACGTAAATGATGCATAATTTTTATAAAAATTAAAAAAATAAAGAGTAAAGTAATAAAAATTTAATAAAATCACGCACTGTTTTCCAAGCTCGGTCTACTAACTTTGTATAAAAATTAGGATAAGCATGGAAGGATTCTACCATATCTTCTAAGAATTATAAGTTTAATTTTTAAATTATTTTCATATTCATTAAGTCCAAAATGCTGCTACTTCAGTTCTTTAAAAATGCATTAAAAATTTATTCGCTTTTGAACTTGTATGTTTTACTTCTAGACCGACGATATTATAAATATATGGTTATGAATATCATATTTTTTAAATTTAATTGATTATCTGTTTGGGTAATATTCAATTCCATTTTCAAAATTCAAACAATGAAGGTTGCTATCTCCAGAAGTATATTTTTATTTCTTAGTTCTGCAAGACGAATATCTGCTATTGTGTCCCTATTGTGTCTGAAAAAAATGATGTAACACGAAATATTGAGTTATATTGTTCCCCAGCAAATAAAATTCTTATCTCTTTATCATATTAACGCATGAACATTCTTCCTACATGTGTACATATTTTTTGTACTGGTTTTTTGCTCTCCTATAAAATTAGGAATAATGGAGTTAGCAGTTTATCACATTTCACCGACGAATATACACTTTTGATACCAGTAACTTATTTTACGCGGTTCACTTATCACTGCGCTGTTTTATTAATGCCATAGGAAAAGTTTATATGTATGTAACTCAATTCTAAAAAAGAAATCAACGAGTTATCGAGTTGTATCATACGATGGAGAAACGGCAACATATTGCTCACATTTGGCCGGAAACTGCCACACATGCGCAGGTGCTTGATCAAATTAAAGAAATTGCTTATTTAGTAAATTCGTTGCCTGGAAATGGATTTAAGTGATTTGCATCAGAAATATGTAAAATACCCACTTGAATCAGATAATGTTGAAATCACCGAAGAAGAATTAAAATTATTAGAAGTGAAACTGAAGATCTATATGAAGATTTAGTTC